CCAATCTTCCTTGATGTTCAGATCTTTCAAGATGTCAGTATTTCTCTTCTTTTTCGTTCAAGATATTCTGAGAATCTATTCTATAGCACTTCAGCTCAAAAGCCCCTATCCTCTTTCTTAAGGATTGTGAGATAGTCCACGACTCACATCCGTTTGTTGCTACAGGGAAGATGCATGCTCTCAACATTCTAATTTTGTCTCCTTGTTGGTGCATAAACCATAGATGTTGTAGGCTGTTTAATCTTGGGATTCCCATAGACTCTGTAATTCGCTCTGTCCCTTTTCTCTGCTTTTCGTCTGGTCTATACATCATTGCCTGCTGTGGTCTACTGTCTGCTGACATCTGCTTTATATGGCCAAACCATTTCACCTGCTGTTTTCTAATGAAATCCAGAGTTTGGGATTTTATCGTTTCTAATCTTATCTCTACTTGTTATAATAATAGCCCTTCGCAGAAATCTCAGTTCCGTTTTGTAATATTTATCTTCTTTTTTTCTGTCAAAGTCCAGTTCATTGATAACCAAGGGTTTGCCAGTAGATTGCTTTATAGTGTGCTCTTTTGGTTCGCATTGATACATGCTTGTTTCTTAGTACTGGTGCCATTTTCCCAATGAGTTGGTTTGCTTTGCTACATCTGTCATCAATTTCATCCTCTGTTTTGCCAGCTGATGATATTATACTTCCCAAGTTTTTGAAGTGCTACGCTAAAAATGCGGCCCTAAATGCTTCTTCTTCTTCTTCTTCTTCTTCTTCTTCTTCTTCTTTTTCTTCTTCTTCTTCAGCATTCCGAGCACTTGAGGTTCATTGCTGCAGATATCACCCGCCTCCACTCATCTCTCTGGCTGGCCTTCTCTTCCTCGATCACCCCCTTCCCCCCCCCACCCCCCCCCCCCCCCCCCCCCCCCCCCCCCCCCCCCCCCCCCCCCCCCCCCCCCGACAACCTATATCTTTCCCAAAAATAGTTTCAAATATCGGCAATAAAGAGTTCTTTTTTTATGCTTACAAAATTAATCTCATTATTGTCACTATATTAGCATTACCTTAATTACTGTTGGTTTTTATTAGATACTAGTTAAAAGCATCAGAGGTTGCGTTGAGTTCAGTTTCAAGAACCGCCATCACAGCACTTGGAGCATTCTCATAAGTGCCCTGTCCCCATTTTCAGCAGCCAATGAAGAGTCCCATTGGTACCAAAAGCAGTCTGACTGGGCATCAGAGGGTGGATGGCATATTCACTGAAACGATTCATGCGGTCTGAGCACGATTTTCTGATATCAAACTGGAGCATATGCTTTTAATTATTTTAGGCCAAGTCATTTTAGTGTTGATGGGGAGGGGGAGGGGAGAATTCGTTCATCATTTCTTTGCTTCTGCTGCTATGGATGGATTTCCGAGGAACGAGAAAGCCGACCCACAGCAATCTCGACGGTCATGTTTTATGAAAGGATTGATGAGTTAGTGATATACTGCTTCTTCTAGTGCGCTGGTAAGACATGCTATGGTGATGATGTTTTTCTCTTTCTTCTTTGTTTGTCCGTAAACGTGCGATTGGCATCTTCTATCTATCTTCTTTTACCCCACCAGGACATTGCACAAGCGATAAACACCAGATGACACAAAGTGCCACCATGTGGATTAGGATCACCCGTGGAGAGGTCCCAGAAACCGCGTTAAGCCATTAGACCATATTTATGGTCAGGCTATATTGCGACCCCTGGCTTCAAATAACAACAATTTGCATCTCATAAAGGGAGATGACCAAGGGATTTTGTGCGGTTGGCACTTTATCTTGTGGTTTATATCGAGGCTGTGATATCTGCGACTTTCGGCCCAACACATCCTATTTCACAAGGAACCCACAATCTTAATGAAAATGAATTAGACCTGTGAAACAAATGTCCATGCAAAACTCAGTTTCTGGAACAGGAATAGAGTCCAGAAGTGGACATACAACCAGATATTTCTGCCAGAGTTTACAGCCGGTGAATATCATTTCTTGCAGTTGTGATTCATTTTCAGCGATCAAAACTCTAATGTGTCCACTATTTCTTGCAGTTGTGATAAATTTTCAGCGATCAAAACTCTAGTGTGTTTATCATTTCTTGCAGTTGTGATAAATTTTCAGCGATCAAAACTCTAATGTGTCAATCATTTCTTGCAGCTGTGATTCATTTTCAGCGATCAAAACTCTAATGTGTCCATCATTTTTTGCAGTTGTGATTCATTTTCAACGATCAAAACTCTAATGTGTCCATCATTTCTTGCAGTTGTGATTCATTGTCAGCGATCAAAACTCCACCGTCAGCGTATCGCATGTTATTAACAATATATCCACCAACCGATTTTCCTGGCAAACCACGTATGGATCTATTTATTATTTCACTGTAAAATTGCATAAATCGGGTGACAGTACACATCCCTGTCTAACGCCTTGTTTAATTTTTTTGAAAAGTTCCAGCTTGGTTGTCAATCCTTATGGCTGGTTTTTGTTGCCAGTTTTTTTTTTTTTTTTTTTTCAGATCTTTACCACCAAAGTATAAGGTTTTCACAATTCTAATAATTTCCTAATCTTTCACGTTATCATATGCTTCAGTGTAATCAATAAAGCATATATACAGGTCACTATTCATGTCAATCATACTTTCTGACAGTGTTCTTAAGATTTAAAAAATTTATTATTACTATTATTTTTTTTATTATTATTATTATTACTATGCGCCACGTGACAAATGAATCTATTGTAAATAACGTGAAATCTGTAAACAAATACTTAAAAAGAGAACGCCTATACCATTGACCCTCAGAATATGAGTGTACCTGGATACAAGTTTTTCAGGATACGAGGTCAGGTTCACCAATTTTGTTGCCCCGGAATACGAGGCTACATCCAGGATATGAGTGTTCCTGGATACAAGGTTTTCAGGGAGAGAGGTCAGGCTCGCCAATTTGGTTGCTCCAGAATACGAGGCGAAATCCAGGATGTGAGAGAAGAGAACTCTGCGCGTTATCTGGGAGCATCTGGATGACTTTTAGATGGATTAGGTCACAATAACATTGCCGTAGGGGATCTTATACCAGTCGCTATGGCACCTGATGATGATGAACCACAATGTTTCGACGCCTTTGCCGTCCTGTGGTGCACAGGTGATATGTTTTGAAAACAAAATTTTAAAAGTTGTTTGCAAACAATTCTAGTGAAACTGAAAGCTGGGTAGTTTCCAAGAAATGAACAAGTTCATTCTGTTATGAAATCAGCGTCTGTGGCATAGGTGTTGCGAACGCGCTTCGTAATGCCGAGGTGTCGGGTCAGATCCCAGCTGCTGGCCTTGCGTTGAATTCGACAGTTTTATTCGAAAAGCCAATCGTACAGAAAGCAATGGCAAACTACTGAACGTAAATTTGCCTAGAAAACCACAACAAGCGAAAAATTGCTGGGGTTGGTTCTGCAACGTCATGTAAAGGATACGTAACTTACTTTTATTTTGACATTTATTTTATTGTTTCTTTAAATTAAAATTAAATGTCAATAAACTTTAATTATCTATATATATTTTAAGGGTGTGTATATTTTGAGGTTTAGGAGATTAGCTGGTGTTTTTTAAAAACGTAAGGTGCATCAGGACTTTTTATAGCTTAGAGTAGTGGTTCTTAAACTTTCTAATGCCACCACTCTTTAATCCAGTTATATAACTGTCTTGCCTACCCCCGCCCCTCACCCCTTTCCCCCACTTGCCTAACGCCAAGGCCCATAGATACTTCCCGCTGCATCATTCTTGCCAAGGTGTTCGGTATCTTTCAGTTTACTTGTCACCTTGTTTCACAGGCGAGAGTTCACCTCCTCCTTCTACAATGACAGTACACTTCCCCGGAGGGAGAAGGGGTAACCTATCTGCCTGTTCCTTCCCAAACACTCCTGCATTGTCCGGGCAAAATATTCATGTGACTCTCAACATCAGCCACCTCTGGATTTACGCATTCCATTCCATACAAAGAAGTCCTCATACAACCAGCCTGACTATGTTGTGCAAATCCTACACCATTACAACATGTACGACTGAGATTTTCACCACCCACCGTTATGCCGCAGTTACCGCCTCAACCTCCATTCTCCTGCTGAATGCGGTAATGTCGTGTGTCAAGTTCTCGTTAATCATCTTTCTCCCCAGTGATTTAGCAATAAAACTTCGACCACTCTCTCTTCCCCTGGCCACTGTCGAACGTTTGCGTCTGTCCGTTCTACCACTCTTTACCTGCATTCTCTTCCCATGATGATATCACTTTGTGCAGCTCTGTTCTGTGAGAAAACTAAACAAATAGCAGTACTTTTATTCCATCCTCTCTACTTGGCTAACCTCTGTAAAAATCCAGTTACAACCTATTGTTCAACTGTATCGGAACTCCAGTCAGCAAACTGAACTGAGCTGAGCTGAGCTGAGCTGAGCTGAGATGCACTAAGAACCCACATTATATCATTCTCGACATGGGGATAAGTGCTCCGTCCTCAACTTCAGCAGGCAACGATAGTTCAGGCAGCAGTTTTAATCGGTGTCCTTCTTGCCTTTCCTAGAGTTGTAAGCGTTGGCAAGATCCCACGGCATTTCCCTTTTCATCATTCTTGTCAGACCGCGGTGATCTAATTTTGCTTCCATTCTGTTCACTCGCCCAGAAAGCTCCCTTAAAGTGAGCAAGTAACAATCTTCAGATTATATATAAATATATATACATAGATATATATACGACTCAAATGTCTAAAAACCTGTCTAAAAACTAAGGATGATAGGCAACAATTACTGAAAATGTGTAACTAGAATTACTGATAGCATTTGCTCCAAGCTTGTCCAACTGCACAGATTAAAGAGAATTATGTTGGCCTATACACTACATAAGACAATCGCTTTAGAGATTTCAGCATATTCATATTAAAGATTATTCAGACTAACTTTTAAAACGACGTCGGAAAAAAAAGACTACAATATTGCCTCTTTGATTACCAAACATATTTAGGCAATAAAGATAACAAATAATATGTTCTGCAGGCGTCCAAATCGCTTGGCGTAATCGGCGTCGCGTATGCAAGTCTGGTCAAAGTCATAAGGCGTAGTACGCACATCACTGACAGGTCCTGTAATGAATTTTTGATTTTGCACTAACGAAACCACTTCTGAATCATATACGCCTTTCCGAAAATAAGAAACTACTTTCCTCCATAGTTGTTCTCTTCTAGCTGTGTGCACCTCAAGTGAGAGATGGGGTTCCTCTCTCTCCAAATCCTTGCTAATTCTGAAAGCAATGATAGCTCCAGTACCACCTCTAGCTTTTCTCTTTGCCCATTCTACGGCCTTGTCTATGTCTTGCGTCACATAAAAACCGTTTCCGTTAGAAAAGTCTTGTCTTGCTCTTGATTTTTTCAAATCGATGCCTCGTTCCAGGATGTTGGTAGCGTGGGTGTCTGTAGTGCCGTGATAGTAGACCACTTCATTCGGCTCGGTGTGTACCATCGCTTGCGTCGTAGCAATGTCTGAAATGTCTGAATCTGAATCTCTATAAAAATTGATCATCTTCACTTTGGTTCTCACGAGCCGGAGTCCCGGCTCCATAAATTCAGGTCTCTCAATCTCTCGCCTATACCATCTGCCAGTCCGCTCATATTCGTAAGGGAAAATCTAGAAAAGAAAAGTTACAAGTTTTAGTTCACAAGTTAAGTGTGCTATTAGAACATAATCAAGAACAAATGAAATAATGAGCATGAGGCAAGGGTGCGTACATACACACATACATACATATACACATACACACACAGGTACACACACACAACAGTGGGAAGCGGAATGGACATGGGCTCCCTTAACGTTCTCCATGGCTGCTGGTGTCTTCATTAGTTAGGCAAAAAATAACAATTATTAGTGTTATATGTTGAATAGCAAACGAATATATAACAAATATTTAAAATATTATGAAATGTATACATGGTTTAAGAGACGACTTAGCTCGTAGCAAATTTTTTAGAGGGAGGGAAAGCGAGCGTTGAACTCACCACCTTAAAGTTGCCGGCGGAGCTCAATCTCACTTCACCATCCCTTCCCCCCCCCCCCCACCCCAACACTTTTGCCCCCAAAATAACTTTAGGATAGAACTACAGCTTCCGGGCTCCCAAGATTCTGACGCTCCTGCTATGAGATCGTAAAGCCATTAAGGACCGATTCCCACGCTTTCAAGTGTTTTGAACATTTGATGCTAGCCCAAAACTGTGTATGTTTCAGCTGGCACTCTATACATGATATAGCCTGTATTACGCTAGCCGTCTTTACTTCCAAGCACAGTTCCTGACAGCCATTCAAAATGGGGTGACCTGGAAGCTCGAGTAATATTTTGTAGTAAAGGAAATTCTAACCTATGACCTCCTGACTAGCAGACAAGTGCGATAGCCGGTTCGCTACATGAGTTTTAGAAATAATAAATGTTTACATACAAATGGGATTGGGTGTCGAGAAGTATGAGCCTTTAAGTGCTATAATATTAAAAATAATAATGATAATAATAATAGCAACAACAACAACGCCTTTTAAAAAAAAATCATTAGCTAAATCTATACTTTTCTTCTTTTACTGCTATTACTACTACTTGTTCTTCTTCTTTCGTCACACTCTTTTCTTTTTGTAGCTTTTTTTTTTTTTTTTTTTGCGCTTCTAATGTGGCTTGGATGATAGAAATACTGCATAATTTAGATACACCGTTTCACATCAGTAGTAGATTATGGCGATTCAGTTATTATTCACATCCACCAGGGCGTTTAATATAGTAAAACATTAAGGTACCCCCTCAAAAATTTGAAGCGAAGTTCCAAGCAATGGAGACACAAGCAGCCATAGAGAACGTTAAGGGAGCCCATGCCTATTCCGCTTCCCACTGCATCGGTTTATTGAAGTATATTTGTTTCCAAAAAGTAATTAATATACAGTTGTTCTTTGATCGGTACCTTTTTAAGAGATTTAATTCCCCCCCCCCCCCCCCCCGAGCGCTACGGTAAATGACACTTTGTGTTAAATGCCGGTACCTTTTAGACACTTTATGATCAGTATATGCATGTTTTTTTCTTTTTTTTAAAGTCCTGTTAAAGATACCACAATAATTATTTTCAGAGCTTTTTTTTAAAGGAAAAATCAAGGTTGGAATACCGGCAACAGAGGGAGCTAGGTAAAGGAATTAATTTAGGCATCAATATATTTTTATTTATGCTAATGGCCAGCGGAACCATGCGTTAAGACAGTCCTGTCAAACACGATACACCTAGTCTGCAGAAGTGTGTAGATCAGGGTCCGTTGCATTCTACTTACAACGAAGTGCTCCCCAAAAACGTTCTGTTAAAAAGAAAGTAAAGTAAAGATCCCTTTTCACGCCTTTCGGCGCATCGGGCATATGGGCAGAGCGTCCCATATTTTTACAGACCATCAGCACTCTGTGGGTAATGTGGTCAGCATTATGCCGGCTGTCTTTACTTTCCCAGGACAGCCCATCCTGGTACCCATTTTATGCTGGGTCGACCTGTGACGTCCCATACCACGACAAAAATCCACGCAGCCTGCAGTGTGTTTCGATCGCGGTATTCTGGCTCACGAGTCGGACTCGCAACGCCTTAGCCACGGACGCAAACGTTCTGTTACTCACTACAAAATGTCTTTTACAATAGCCCTGGTAAAAATAAGTATACTATAATAAAGGTGTCAGTACTGTGTACCGTTACATGCCGCAAAAAACAAAAACAAAACAGGTTTTTTTAAAGTTTACACGAGGTTTTTTTTTTTTTTATACCGAAAGCCTCCAATAGTTAGCAGATCTGTAATTCAATAGCACATTAACATATTGCCCTATTTTTGTAAATTAACATGTTGAACTTACAGAATCGGTTAAAAGTGCCATGGTATTGTTTCATTTGAAGTCCAATTATCAAAATGGAATAGTTACAAAGAAATATCGTACGTATTGTACTGAAACTGACTAAGCAAGCGATTTATAAAACACGAAAACGAAACTGAAAAAATGGCTAAAAATGTCTAAATACGGCTGTGGTAAACACTGTTATCAATTCTTCAAGATAGGTTCGGACTTTGCCGTATGATGACGGAACTAAACATAGTTATAATGTAATCTTATCGCAAGTGACGTTATTGCCAAGTGGCACAGTCTTGACAGAACGTTACAACCCCCCCCCCCCCCAATCTCCCCCCCCACACTTTGTTTTTGTTCCCTTTCGTCCAGCCACCCAGCAGCGTCTGCAAAACAAAATCATTGGTGGGAGGGTCTCTCAGCCTTCTGGTGTTTTTTAAGCTTTCGACTTCAAAATGGACGCTAGGCAAGGGCACTGTTTGGAGCCGAGGCAAATTTTTTGCTTCTGCCGGACGGTGGCCGATGCATTTTTGCTCCTAATGTAGACTGGATATAGTTTCATCACCCAGCTTCTGAGTTAAATGTGTGGCGTGACACTGTGAGCTGCGGATTTCATTGGAATGTTTTTTCTACTGTGATCAACGTTGTGGTGCAAATTGTAGATTCAGAAAATGGCGCGATGCCTGTCGTCGCAATGTTGGTATTTCCCGTATGTGATTAAAATTGATCGCGTGGGCAACTTCTGATCTGTTGCTTGACTTCTGCTACTTTCAATTATGAACTGCATTTTTAGTGTCGGACTGTTTGTGTTAGCACTTCAGATGGCTACAGAATGCTTTAATGCGTGTGTATGCTGGATATGCTGAGACAGCCGTCTGTTAATCTTTCCACAAGGGACTGTGATAAACATTCTGTGTATTTTTCGTTGGCACAGGAGGGGAGCAAAGATGAGGTGACTCATTTGAGTTCATGTATGAAGCTGAAACTAAGACTACCAGACTAAGTTTTGTAAACTAAAAGGACCCTTTTCACGCCATCAGGCCAATTGGCATATAGGGCTAGACCTATATTTTATAGAACAATCAGCAGTCGGTGAGTAATGTGGTCAGCATTACTTTCCAGATCTATACCTGTTACCCATTCAAGGCCTGGTCGACCTGAGAGCCAAGGTCATTTTTGAAAAATGTCCGACTCCGTCAGGACCCCAACCCACCCCCTTAAGATCCACACTCGGGCGTCCATCCACTACCCCCGGCGGCTCTGTTTGTGAAGTGCCTAATTATTATCATCATTATGTGCTAGATGGCAGGTAAATACCAAAATGCATCTGAAATAAACTGAACTGTACAAACACATACTTCAAACAAAAACGTCTATACATGGTTGGAAAAAGGGGGCTGGGATAGACTGTGAGCCCAGTGGAAGGTGTAAATGGCACCACATTATTATGAATAAAGATTATGCCACTAAATGACAAAACATATTCAGTTCAACAAGAAATCAAATGAGAACAACAAACACGTCTATCATATTTGACGTGTATTAAAACAAAAAACAACAGCAACAACAGAATTATAGTGCAATTTTTTTTTTTTTTTTTTTTTTTTAGTAAAATTTTGTTTTCAAATACCTGTCATACATTTTGTTATGAACGTATTTCAAGTATTCGCAAGTAAAATCCAGCCAACCAAGATGAGGGGAGGCTCTTCAAATAGAAAAAGTATGACACGGTGTGGAGAAAGCCGTAAGGAGTCCAGATCGTTGACGTACCTTCTCTAAGCTAAAAAAAACCTCCAGAATTGGCACCTGGAATGTTAGAACTCTCTATGATATAGGGAGAACAATGGAAGTAGCAAAGGAAATGAAACATTATAGAATTAGTATTTTAGGGTTATGTGAAACTAGATGGACTGGGGCGGGGAAAAGTATTCTAAATTCAGGGGAAACTATTTTGTTCTCAGGACACACAGAGAAGGAGTGGCCCTGATGCAATCGAAATAAGCAGACAGGGCAGTAATAGAATGGGAAGCTGTGAGTCCCAGAATAATAGGAGCATCTTTTTGAACAGTGAAACAGAAGGTGAACATGTCGGTAATACAGTGTTACGCACCAACAAATGATAAAGATGAATCTGTTATAGAAGAATTTTACATGCAGCTTCAAAATATAAATAATGAAAGAAATGGCAATTAAAAAATTTCGATCGGTGACCTGAATGCTGAGATAGGATCAGATAACACAGGTTATAAAGAAATTATGGGAAGACATGGTCTAGGAGTAATAAATGAAAATGGGGAATTTTTCAAAAAATTTTGTGCGGGAAACCAGTATGTTATTGGTGGAAGTATTTGTCCCCTTAAAAGAATACACAAGGCAACATGGGAATCACCAGACCATAAGACAACTAATCAAATTGACCACCTATGTATTAACAAAAAGTTTAGATCATCCCTTTACGATGTTAGGGCTTTCAGAGGTGCTGGTGCATTTACTGACCATTTCCTGGTGGTAGAAGAGTTAAAACTCCGATGGTACCAGTAACAGTCTGATTGTATATCCGTCTCACTCTTCCCCCGAGTGTCGAGCGTCGGCCAGATCCCCTTGTAACTCCTCGCAGTACCATTCTCCTCAGACCGTAATGATCTATCTGTTCCTCGGCACTGTTCACTCGCCCCGAAAGGGCCCTCACAACATCCAGCTTGTAATGTATCAGTTCACCACCAAGTGGTGCAAAACCGGTCATTCTATCCGCCTGCTCATTTCCCAACACACCGGCGTGACCTGGAGTCAAAATCCAAAGGATGCTAACCCACCCACGACCTCTAAAGTGACAGCTGCCACTCTGCACGGAGCATGCATGTCTCCACCTTTCTCAGCATGCTCTGTGAGTCAGTTACAATGATGACATGTGTGTACAGCTGATTCTCAAGCTAACTGAAGGCAGCAGTGACTGCCTCCACCTCCATTCTCAAACTAGACGTTGTGATATCATATGCCAAGCTTTGTTGCGCCAAGCGACGTCCATTCGACATTGCTATGAACCCTCGTGCACTTCGTCTGCCCCTCAACACAGAGCCATCTGTATATACAATCACATCACCTGGGCGGTAATTGTCATGAATCATTTGTTGAACTTCTGATTCTGCAGCACCAGCTGACCAGTCCTTGCACTCACGTCCCAAAGTGATTAGAACCCTACCCTAATCGGACACTTTAACCCACTCCTCTCCTCGCCTAAATTTATCAAGCCTGCACACATGTCGAATTGTGTCTTCAGCTTGCGCCGTTCAAGACGTTCCTTTTTTCAATCTGTGACCCTAAGCTCTATCCAGGGCTTCTTGCAGGAGGTGTCTCTTGTCCGCAGCTACTCTGAGATATGACTTTGCTAGCAGAAATTTAAGCCCATCTGCAATAGTAGGCAGTGCAAGTATATATCGCATACATACTACCGAGGTATCTCTTGTACATCCCAGAATCACTCGCATGGCTTCATTCTGTATGCGTTCAAGTTTCATCAGCTGACTCTTTGATATGGTAAGCATACCAAGTCCATAATCTATCACCGACAGGATCACATGCTGGAACATTGTGAACAACATTCTTTGTTTCATGTCCATTGCTGCCATAATCTTGAGAGCATTGAGTCCTTTTTGGCATTTCACTGCAACTGCATCCACATGCTCCCTGAAGGACAAAAATAATACCCAGGTATCTCCGTTTGCTTTCTCGTTTGACGTTACTGTTATGAACTGTGAGGTATGGGACGCCAGCTTTCACAATTCTATTGTCTAGAGAACACTATAAAATAGCTGCCTTTTCTGAATTGATGACAGCACCATTTTCGGCACACACAGTTGCTTGTAGCTCCGTCGCCTATCTCTCCCCTGCCTATATGCAAGAACATCATCGGCAAATGTCAATATTCTTCAAACACCTGGTGATTCAAGTTCTGCAATCTTGCTTGTATACACATTAAAGAGCACTGGTGAATTTGCAGAACCCTGGGGTAGTCCTGGGGCGATATTACATTGTTCTAAGGTCTACGTACCCAGGCGAAGGGCAACCATACGTAAATGCAGGACAGCTGCTATCCAGTTCACAAACCACGGAAAAACCCCTTCTCCATGAGTGCAGAAATCAAAATATCATATTTGACTCTATTGCAGGCATCCCCAAGATCAAGTGCTGCCACAACTGTCTCCTGTCTGTTCTCCCTCATAAACATCAAAAGCAAAAGTAGCTGCATTGGACCAGGTATCTTTCCGAGGCCGGTAACTACCTAAACCTTTTGGCAGGAGCTCTTCCCTTTCCAAAAACTGTTGTAGTTTAACAGCAATAATCTTCTCAAGCACCTTGCCAAAAGTATTTTGTAGGGTAATTCTGAAACCGCTGAGTTCGGAATGATCTTTGCCTGGTTTTGGAAGTGGAGTTAGGTAGCTGTGTACCCATTCCTGGGGTACTAAAGCTGTTCTGATGCTCTTCTTCTTCTTCTGCCTTTCTATCCCCCGTTATGATGCTCTGGTTGAAGTAAAAAGCTATCTTCCTCAAGTATTCATCACTCATTCTCTTCAAGTTGCCCAGGCGCAGTGTCCTTTGCTTTTTGCAAATCATGTTTTATATCCTCCACCCTAATAATATCTTCAAAATTCTTATCGTTTATCGTTTTATACAGATTATTTCTAACTAAATTTCTAAGCTCCCTATCATTATGATTAGTTTGGGCTACAAATCTCTTTAAAAAAGCTTCCCCTTTCTCTTTGTCTGTTGTCATTGTTTAAGGCGAGCATGTGGTGGTAGGTTTCTTGCAACATTCTGAATGCCTTGACCTCTTTCTGGGAGGTGGTGTCTGTCCTGTATGACATGGACACCGCGTAAAACCGATTTGTGGTGTATTCTTTGTTTGTATTCCTATTTTTCTAAAAATTGTCTATTAGGATCGTGACGATTCATTCTAGTGCATCTTTCACACATTTCTAAAGTGGCTTTTTCTCTCCGCAATCCTAGGGATTCCACATTTGCGGCCGGGTGACGAA